TTATCTTTCCAGCACATCTCACGTTTTTACAGCAAATATTATAATCGTTTCTAAGGGGCATTAACTAAATTTTTTTTCTTTGCATAACTAATACGTTTTTGTGATTTACTGTTATGAGCAGGCAAGTTTAACAAGTTAAAATTCAGTACATGTTATACTGAAAACATAACGCAGGTAAAATGGGTAGGGGAAATCGGTGACGTACCAAGAACTTCCCGACAGCTTCAAATTTAACACGTCCTGTAAGTATTGTTAACATTGCATTTCATAGTGCACCCCACAAGAATTAAGGAAACACTGTTTGAAATTATAAATAATCTTATAGTAAATCACATTACAAATCATGTATAAATATGAATCGTCGCGTTAAGAAGAAGGTTAATTATGTTTTAATGTGTATACAAACATAGTCCTTTTTATCTTTTGTACACAACAAGTCAAAATTGGAAAAATGTATACAATTCTTACAAACAATTATTAAATCAGCGGTTGTTTGTTGCCCTTGTTCCTTGAGTGTTATTTTCTTATGCTGTAGCTTAAAAAACTCATAGAAAATTAAGAAAAAATTATAAGCAAGTTAAAGATCATTTTCCATTTCCAGTGACTTTTTGTTTTTGAGTTTCTTACGAGAGCACAGACTGAGAATGTCTTTATATTATTTAAGAAGTATCCTTATGTTTGTATGGTTAGATTAGACCAAAGATTACGGCGAACTTTTCTATCACATTTCTGTATTACGGTAATAGTACATTAGTAATAAGATTGGATATAGAATGTTTTAAGATATTCCTATGAATATTAAAAGTGTCAAAATAAGCTGCAAATAATTGTCATTTACTGATTTTATGGTTTCCATGTAAAGATTTATGTGAATTTTGTAACTAACCCCACAAGATTGGGGTTATGGGAAATCTGAAATGAACTCCTATGTTTTGAATTACGTAATGGATACTGTTTATCAAATGTCCAATATTCAAAAATCTAGGTCAACTATGGTTTTTGTTTTTTATTAATTAAATGAAAATCATTAGGAAGATCCGACCACAAACAGGGTTTCATGAGGTGTTGATTAAATTTGTCATACGAAGATGACGCAGGGTTCTTTATTGCACTACTATACCTTTCACTCATTTCAAAGCTAAATTATAGATTTAAAATGCACTAGGGTTAATAAAGCTGCCAAATTATAATATAAAAAAGCAACGCTTTTCAGAAAATAATAAAAATCTTACACAAGTAATATGTGTGAACACTCCAGAAATTGTATTATTTTCTGTTTTTTTGTCGTAAGAACTGTTAACAACAAGAAATACACGTAACTCTCCGATATAATTTACACAAATTATAACTCTGTGACGTTTTCTTATTTTGTTTTTTTTATTACTTAGCACAGAAAAGTGGAAATGAAAAATAAGCAAACAAAGAATGGAATTGGAAGCAAAGAAGTCTAATACTGAGAAACCAACTTGAAAACATAAAACAAAAGGGTGCTTGTATATAAAAACATCACTTATTTCCACTTTCCAATTTAGCATTTACTCCTGTTTTTCTTTTTGGGTACGTTGTAACAAATATGAAAATACATCGTTCTACTGCATCCATAGAAACTCACCCAATACAGTATTTCAGAACCGATCTAAACGCTTGAATCTGTTAGAAGACCAACCTGCCTAATAACAACAGAACCGACAGACTGCCATGTATTACCTTATTTACTACATCATTACCATAGAATCTCAACTTGGTGTAATCTTCGCACAAAGAATTTAACCAAATACACGAATTTTCTTTAAAAGAGTTATTTTGTTTTGAATAAAATAAATACAAAATCACACATTATCACGTAGTGGAACAAAATTAAATATAACCAAGTATAACTCGTAAATTATTAACCCTCCACAACAATACAGGCTCTTAGTGGTGCCAAGTAGCTAGTGGTCTCTGAAATACACTGACTAAATTCATACATAAAGTTAAACATTGTGTAATATAAGTAATTAAGTACATAATTTATCACTGTACACTAATAACCTAAACTTGTCAAGTTGATTAAGTTTAATAGTCAGTCATTCTGACACACTCATAGACGAGAATGCCAAAAGTAGATTTTACTATATGTGAATAGTCATTTTGACATTGTAGAGGTATCCAAGCTAAATCGCCAAAGCTATTATATATATATATATATATATATATATACTACT